AAGCACAACTACAGGTACCCTCAAACGCAAACTGAATTCACTGCTTTCCAGTGAGCTTTGACTCCCAAAGACCCTGTAAGACAGAGCAGAACTGCCCGGTGGGTTATGAAAGAGGATTGGGAGGAAATGGTAGAAGGAGCAGCATGGTTTCTGAATTCCTCACATAAAACTGAGCTAGTGGATAGCAAAATCAAATCCCATGGGCATTTCCAACAAAATATGGTGGCAAATCAGCCTTGTGAAGCTCTAATACAAACAAGAGAATCACAGACCTGTGGCTGCATCCGTGCAGAAAGAGGGAATGAAGAATCTGATGGATTTGAGACTCCAAAACTTTAACAAGCACCATATATACTCATGTATAAGCCGAGTTTTTCACAACATTTTTATGCCGTTTTTGTGGTAAAATTAGGTGCCTCAGCTGATATTCAGGTCAGCTTACACTCGAGTATATATGGTACTCATTGGAAAGAGAGTCAGCCCAATTGGGAGCAGTTGCAGAAGGTAGGGGGTTTTGCCCACACCAACAGCAATTCAATGCACAAGCCCATAGCGATCAGTTCTAACAAACTGTTTCACTTGAAATTTGTACAAACAAAACAAAAAAATGGTAAATGTTCTATTACCCACAGATACATGAAGGAATATAATCAAGCAACAAGTAAAATCTATATATTGTAACAGGAATCAGAATACTATATGTAATTTCTAAAATTTAAGTGGAGAGGAAATGTTTTGAGAATGATGAGGGCAATGAATGTACAAATGCGCTTCACACAATTGATATATGTATGGATTGTGATAAGAGTTGTATGAGCCCCTAATAAACTGATTAAAATTTTAAAAAAAGAAATTTCTAAAATTAAGGATGTGAAGACATTGATGTGTAACGCCTTAAAGGTATTTGATCTAATTTTTAAATTAGAAAAAAGAAATATATCCCAAATGCTTTTATAATTTAAGCTCAACACTGGTAGGAGATGCAAGTAGAACAAGAGAGAATGAGTTTTGAAGAAGCCTCATTACCAATTAGAAATATATCATTGATAAGAGTTTTTTAAATTGTGTGGGGGAAAAAGAGATAATGGAATTTTCCTGTTAACTTTTTGAAATACCTTCCCCCCACCCCTATAAACAGTTCCTTTACATTTGTCATTCTACATTTCTACTATTTGATCACTTATATCAATGTTTCCAAAGTACGGGAGTGTCCCCCTGGGGGGCGGGGGTGACCTGGAATGATCCAGGAGGCTGCAAAAGCAGATACCTACAATTTATCCTGGATTATGGGCTATACTACATAAGTTTTTAATTGCCAGGTGAGAGCCAAGTATGTTTTTTTCTGAAAAGGGAGCAGTCGGCCCTGTCAGTTTGGAAACTCATGATCTATAGCTAACTCAATTACATTCCTATAAGGCTCAAATATAAACGGATGCCAGTGGACAAGAAGAAAATCACTTGGCTAATCAGAGGACTTCCTGCTTGTTCTATATCCCATCTAAAACTGTCTTGCTCTTCACCTTTCACACTTCCAAGTTTGAAAGAGATTACATGCTGCAGTAATGTTTACAGATTTGTGGATTCAATGTCTCAATACACAGCCCTCAATGTCAAAAATCTTGTATTTGTAATCTTTTTTAGGACATTCCTTATGAACGTATGTTATCAGCTATATGGAGCTATTCCCTACCTAAAAATAGTTGCCGATTACACCCTAGGTTTCATTAGCATAATTCTAGAAAAGGATTATTCTCCTTGGTTAAAGTACTAGATTCCAACTGCCCCTGTGGGTTTTCGGAGACTAACTCTCCCCTGCCTCGCCCAAACCATTTTATTAGGACATAATTCAGACATTATACCATTCAACAGTTCAGCCATAACAATCATTTTCAAAATTTTTCTTCCTTCTTTCACTCCTTGACATCAGCTCCCCCTTTCTCCTGACATACCGCCCCCCCTCCCCCACCGGAACCATTACTCTAGTTATTGTCTCTATAGATCTACCTAACCTGGATTTCATATATTGAAAAACACAGAAAGTTACAAAATAAAGAGTCAAGAACTGTGCCAACAATAACCATATACAAAGATAAGCTCCAACTTGGGGTAAAAAAAACCCACGTAGACACAAAGTCATAAAAGCCAGATCAAGATCAAAATGTATCAAAAAGGAGATCAAATAAGAATATCTTAACCATTCAAGTCAGAATTATCATTTTAATCTACTGTAATTGTCTAGTACTCTGTCTCATCACCAGGTTATTCCTATCCCTCAATTACGGTTAGAGGAGGAATGACTGGAGGCTTAGCCATGTGTAGACCCCGTGAATGTGTTTCTACTGTCACCCATAGCCTCTGCAACCCAGAATTTCACAATGTCAGCTCCAAGGCCATTCCTTCCTTCAGAATTGGATTATATAATTTACAATCCTTGGATCACAGATGTTGGTGTGCTTCTTCCATGTGGGCTTGGTGGAATTAGAATGCTGCTTGTTTGAAAACAAGCCTTGAAGATCCCAGATGCTATTCTTCCTGACAGCCAGGCACTATCTAATTCTAGACGCTCTTTACGGGAGTAGCAATCCTCATCTTTCTCCTGCTGAGCCAATAGTTGTTTCAAATTGCTGATTTTGTGGTTAGGAACCCAATGCATAACCACTATGCCACCATGACTCCTTTTTAATGGGCCTATGGTGTATGCAAATGTTATAAAAGACTACAACAAGAGAGGGAGGAAGGGCAGAGATGGGTTTTTATACACTCTAGGAGTCCTGGTGGTGTAGTGGTTATTCATTGGGATGCAATGTGCTAGGTCAGCAGTTCAAAACCACCAGCTACTCCACTGGACAAAGAGTGGGCTTTCTACTCTGATAAAAGAGTTACACAGTCTCAGAAACTCACTGGGGCAGTTCTACCCTGTCCTATAGGGTCACTGAGTTGGAATAGACTCTATGATAGTGAGGGAATTTTAGTATTTATTTGAAATCAATTTCATATATCATGATATGTGATATCACCCCAGAAAACCACTAGAAAGTAAGTCAAATAAAGTAACAGTTAAAACGTCACACTAGTTAACACAAAAGAAGGCAGTCGTGGAGAAACAGAAAAGCAAAACAATGTAAGAAACATAGAAAATGAACAGATGTCAATCCCACCTTTATTAATAATTACAGTAAATTAAGTGAAAAGACCACCCACAAGTGGGAGTATATGTAAATCTTATTTAAGGTACTACTAGACTATATAAGTAATTCACATACATACCAATACACAGCAACCTAAAAAGAGGCGAAAATTTGAATAGACATTTCTCTAAAGAAGATATATGAATGATCAATAAATACACGAGAAAACACTCAACCTTACTAGTCTTTTGGGAAAAGAAAATCCAAACCACAATGAAGTTATCCATTCATAACAACTAGGACGGCTACAATGGAGACGACAGTTACTAACAAGCTTTGACAAGACTGAAGAAAGTAAATCCCTCACACATTGCTGCTGGGAATAGAAGCTGGCATAGCTATTAATAAATACAATGAAGCACTTCCACTCCTGGGTTCATACCACAGAAAAGTAAACATATTTGCTCACACAAAAACTTGTTTCAAGAATGCTCGAATCAACATTATTCATGATAACCAAAAAGTCACAAGACCATAAGTGTTCATCAACTAATGTTAAATAAATAAAATGTGGTATTCCCATACAATGAAGCATTATTCAGAAGAGGGTCAAGAGGCATACTACAACATGGGTGAACGTTGAGAACAGCATAAATGAAAGAAGACAGTCACAAAAGGCCATGTATTGTACTATCCCACTAATGAAACAAGTGTCGAGAATAAGCACATCCATAAAAACTTACATGTGGTGGGCAGGAAATGATGGGTGGGAGAGGAGAATGGAATGGTGACTGCTAACATTAAGTTCCTTTTAGGGGTGATGAAAATGTTCTGAAAGTAGTGGTGATGGTTGCACAACTCTAGAAACCACTCAAGTATGCACTTTAAAAGATTCATTTTATGGTATGTAAATTTTACCTCCATGAAAAAAAAATCCTATTTTTAAAAATACTTTAATATAGAGTAGATTTAGTTAGCCAAGGAAGTACTATTCTGTATTTTTTCTAACCTCATAAAATATATCCTCCCTTTACAAAAGGCAAACACCAGAATAATTACTTAGAGCAGCGGTTCTCAAACCTGTGGGTTGCGACCCCTTTGGGGGGTCAAACGACCCTTTCACAGGAATCGCCCGATTCATAACGTTATGTAGCAAAATTATAGTTAATGAAGTAGCAACGAAAATAATTTTATGGTTGGGGGGGGGGGTTACCACACATGAGAAACTGTATTACAGGGTCACGGCATTAGGAAGGTGAGGCCCACTGTTAGACTATTAAGAGGAAGCCACACATACAACTAAAATTAACCTAAGAGTCAATTCTTAAAAGTAATTTTTAAACATTGTTTATGTTTTCACTAATCTTACCAATTTTCAAATCATCAGCTAGGCTTTCTTTTGTAAGATTCAACAGTTCTTTTCCATCAATGTTATTCATCTTGAAAATACTGACGAGGTCTTTTAAACCTTGCTCACAGAGCCACATTGATACATCCTCCTCTGACCAATCTTCAGTAAATTGCCTCAGGTGATCTTCCGTGCTCCTTGCTTAAACACACATACACCACAATCAAAAAGGCAAGTGAAATACCGTACATACTCGTGTATAAGCCGAGTTTTTCCAGCACATTTTTAATAGTTTTAGTGGTAAAATTAGGTGCCTCAGCTGATACTCAAGTCAGCTTATACTCTAGTATATACAGTAACAAAAAATAAAGCATCTCCTTCAGAAACATTCTTATTTTGAATTACAACATGCATAACATTTCCTTACATCTGTTTTACTACTGCCTTTTAAGAATGCCAAAGGATCAAATATCATCATCGATAATTAAATTAGTATTTATATTATTTAATCCTAAATTACTTCCCTTTAGGACATTTGTTTTTCACTACAGAAATGCATTTTTCCTTTAGAACATGAAATTCAATCCAGAAGTAGTCTATTTGCTCTGTCATCTGTACACCGACACCACTATTTAATTTCCTCAGTGATAAGCTAAAACTCCCATGGGTAGGTGTCATTGTTGGCCGCCAAATATAAAACCCACTAAATGAAACTATAATTTCTATTCTGTTCTCGTGCTCAATTATTTGGAAAAACAGTAGAGTATAAAAATACTCTCTAACAGTTTTCATGTAGGTTCAAGAGTCATGGTGGCACACTGGTAAAATACTTAACTCCAAATCAAGAGGTCAGTGGTTTGAACCTACCAGTGGATGTGTGGGGAAAAAGATGTGGCAGCCTGCTTTCAGAATGACTTACAACCTTGAAAATTCTATGGGTCAGTTCTACAACTCTGTCTTAAGGGGTCACTATGAGTCAAAATCAATGTCAGTGAATTTTGGCGAGTCAACATCCAGTGAGTTTTGGTTTTCAACTACTGTAAGATTGACCTCTCTAAAATTATGTTTAAATTATAAAACTTGGATGTATAGTATGTGGTGAGAAAAAGAATGTGAATAACTTGTTAGAAATTTTACTAAATTTCTGATGTAAACTGAATAAATAGGATTGACGTGGTTTAAAGATAATGTCCTTACTAACCTTGACAAAGTGCTTCTGGGTCAAATTGCCAGATGTTCACCGTTTTGTCCATTGACCCAGTAGCAAGTAAAAGGATATTAGGTGCAAAGGCACAGGTTGTGACATACCTATTTAACAAAAACAATTAATATGTATCTTCTGACTAATTTGATTATTATTAATACCCACTAAGGTTAAGTTCAGACCTGGTGTGCTGAGCCAACGTGTGAAGTATGTTCTCGGTGTTCTGGAAAATAACAAAAACAGTTTTATATTTGCTTAGGCAATAATCAAGTTATTACTAAAGATCATGTATGATCCATTTGATTTAAATGGTATGTGTGCTCTATATCCTACTATTTAATATTAAGCACTACCAAAAACTTAAATGAGTAAGAGATTATGAAATATTTTATTTCATTCTCCTTTAATTATCAACATTCCTGTCTACTGACAGCCTTCCTAGAAATTGTTAGTAGACTCTTGGCATTGTCTTATTTGTCTGAATTAACTAATGCTAAAACAAATAATTAAATACTTTGTATTTGTTGCCATGACATTTGACTTGTACATGTTAATTTTATACCCACCCAGCATCTAGGTATATTTAACTGGGACGACATTCCTATGTTATGGAGAAAACTATGTTTTTGTGAATGTGAAATCTCATGAGAAATATAAGATCTATTATAGATGGCTTGAATCTTATCAATTCTTGCTAGAACCAGTTTAGCTATCTTGCTTGATTTACTTAATTTTGATAATCGGCATGCCTATTTCATTTGCCGACATGGAGCATTTTCAACACCTACATCTTTGTTGCATAAAAGGCATTTATTTTTCTTCATACAGGCAGTCCTGGGTCTTTTCCTAGTAAAAAGGGCTATTTTTTCAAGTACATTTGTAAGCTACTCTTTCTTATATTAAACTCTAAACCCAGCCAGACTGAGTGGTAGCCTACTTTTAATTGTGTGTGTGTGTGTGTGTGTGTGTGTGTGTGTACAGACACATAAAGTTAAGGGCAACCAAGCAAACGGGTTTTAAAACATAGAGGGAAATACCAAGAATTCAGAGTAGATATCATATAAAGCCTTGGGAAAAACGAATAGCTTTAGAGTAAGAACAGATGAGAAGGAAAACAACAGAAAAGCAGGCTGAAAAGGAGGCTGTAAATAGTCAGTGATATTTGACGAGAGCCAGCAAAATATGAAGATGCTCTAATAACCCCAAATGAGGTAAACTTTTATTCTTAGCTGTTATGGAAGGCTAGTGTAAAAGTGTAAGAATAATTATTTTTGAATATTAAGTAAATCTGCATTTTCTTTGATTGGATGGGAAATCTTATCCATGTAAAAATCATTATCGATATATTTAAGGGCTTGTCCCAACACCAATACCTTCCTTTCCTAACATCTTAGGCATCTATGAAAACATATCTTGGGAATATTAAAAGAAAAAAAAAGTATGTTTATTTAATTCTGTTTAAACTTAAATGAAACAAAGATAATTAACATAGTTCTTACAAGATTGTGAAATACTTACAGTATCATATACTATGACAGATTTATCCACCGATCTAAAAATAGGAAAAGAAAATTACAGCAGAAAATCTCCATTAAAAACAATGACATATGTAATTAGTATTATTAAATATTTTTTAAGAAAAATGCAATTATTGATAAACATTTAGAATAGTCTCTTCTTGTTCATATGTATGGACTTTTTTTTATTCAAATATCTACAAAGTCTACATAAAATTAATCAGAAAGTTAGACATTTTAAACAGTAACCAAACTAATTGCCATTTGCACCAAGCAGGGACACTGAAATAATAGCCTGTAACTATAAATAAGCACTCATGATATATAAATGGGACAATTCCCTGTCAAGATATGACAGAAAACTTTCCAGAGGTCTTTATTGAGGAAAAGCTATGAAACATGAACAAGGTCCTCGTTAACATTTCCTTTAAAAATACATGGCTTCGCTCGTTCAAACTAAGAGTGGAAGATGTCCGGCTTATCCGAGAACATCCTACCAAAATCCCAGTGAAAACAGAAAGATACAAGGGCAAGAAGCAGCTTCCTGTGCTGGATAAAACCAAGCTCCTCATCCCCGACCACATCCACACGAGGAGCTCGTCAACATCATACGAAGGCCAACCAGGCCTTCTTCCTGCAGGTCCATGCGCGCCCAGGTGGACGAGAGCGAGCGGGATGAAGACGGCTTCCTGTACATGGTCTATGCCTCCCAGAAGACATTTGACATGAAGCCGGGCGCCTAACACTGGCCAAACCATCTCCTCCAGAATTGTCACCCCTTACTGAGGGGAGGGGAAGAAAAGAGATGTTAGTGCTGGGATCGATCAGCTCCTCTAACCACAGGCCCTCACAGCTGCGGTGTCCACCCACTGGGAGTTGTACCAAGTGTTTCTCTCAGTGCACGCCTTCAGCTTCAGCAAGCTATTATTATTTAACTCAGGCTCTCTCGTTCTCAGATGTTAGGTTTACAAATAAAGTGCTTTGCCTTTAAGTTGCCAATAAAAAAAAAAATACATGGCTTCAAATGGCTTTATAATACTCAAATTAACCAATGGCTCAAACACAATTCAGAAAATGCAGAATTAAAAGTATGTGGTGCCATCCTACAACTGTTCCTATGCTTGCGCCCATTGTTGCAACCACCGTGTCCATACACCTCCTTGAGGACCTTCCTCATTTTTGCTCCCTCTCTACTGTACTAAGCATGATGTCCTTCTCCAGAGCCTGGTCTCTCCTGATAACATGTCCAAAATACTTGAGGCAAAGTCTTGACATCCTTGCAGCTAATGAGCACTCTGGCCGTACTGCCTGTGAGCTAGATTGGCTTGTCCTTTTAGCAGATAATGGTACTTCCAATATTATTCTCCAGCAGTTAAATGTATCAATTCCTCTTCAGTCTTCCTTATTAATCATCCAACTTTCACAG